ATGTACCTTTGTACTATTTAGCATGTCATTTGACGGTAACAAGAGCAAATTCAATTTAAATCTATTAAATACATTCTAGCGTGTCTCAGTCCTTTACCCACAAAAGCGGCTATAACTTTTTTTTTCTATTCAAAACAGTAAGTGTGTTCTGAAATCTTTATTAAATGAGCAATTTTTTTATGTAATGTAAAGTTATAGCTCAGTACATTTTTTTTTCACCCGAGATAGTCAAAGTTGGGGAAGAAAATATCAAAAAGTTAAAAATCCAGAAATAGTCCTAATTTTATGATGGTTCCTTAATTTATTTTAACTACATTGCATTTGAGTATGGAGAGGCAACTATCTGGAAGTATTTTACATAAAAAATTTACTAAGTATTGCCCGGTTTGTAGTTGCAGTTAAAAAAACACATGAAAAGGCACGATTTTTTTTAAATTAGAAAAAATGTAAATATTTCAAAAACGGTGACACTTTTACCTGAAAATTTTTTGTTTATCAGTGAGCTCACCCCCCCACCTACCTTGCCCTAAAGTTTGGCACGTTACTTCTGGGACACCCTGTATAAGGTAACATTAATATCACTGATGACTGATTAGAATCTCATCTTTGTGAAAAATGTGCAGATAGAGGGTATTATTGAATATAAGCCCTCGATGTTTAAAATATATAAAAATTTTATTTGAACGTATACAGAAAGTAAATCCACCTGCGTTACAGCACGGCGGGAGACGGGGAAGGGGGCCGGGGGGCCGCGGCGTAGCGTGACGTGGTGTGTGCGCCGGTCGCGCGGGGTACGCGGGGCGCGAGCGCGGCGCGCGCGGTGTGGCGCGCTAACGCGGGCCGCCGCGAAGCTAAGCAAATTTAATGTTTGAAAGAGAAATAATGTCAATTGATTTTATTTCGTTTTTAAAAAGGTAATAATGTCAATTGACTTTATTTCGCACCAGGGTGGGAAATAAAGTCAATTGACCTTATTTCCGTTGATCTTATTACCTGTCACCAAAAAGGCACACTTATGCTTTTCACGGGGCTTGAATTGGCAGACTATCTCATCAACTGGTATGATGCTACTGGTATTTATACTAGTAGATGCTGATGCATAGCCTGACAATTGACATCTCGTAGTATATCGCGATGTTAAAAATACCAGTCGCTAACATTGAAAAAGGATAGAACGTGAACTAGTTCGGCTGAAACGCAAACCAGTAGAATTCTAGTTCACAACTAGTAGCTTTCCCTGCAGGGTATTGATTCCTGCAAAATTGGGCAATGTAATATTAAAATTAACACATTTTTCTGCATTGTTTACATATTTTTATATGCGTTTTGGCATTTCTCTCTCGCAATTGCACCAAGATGACGTCACGCAAAAATTACGCTCAAAAATCCTCTCTCATTGGCGCAATCTTGTATTCTATCATTCTTGCAACAAAACAACTAGCACAGGGTCGCATTTATTTTGCTATGCTTTTTTGCGAAATATATACATGGGTTTCGACGTTGCATATTTTGCAGCGATGGGAAATGTTGTTTCCCTTGTATTTTGTTGTTGTGTGTTTGCAAGTTATGCAATCCGTGCAATCCGGGCTACGTGCAACCGCTTTGCAAGATTTCGAGAATACCCCTATTGTTTATATTATATGTACTACTTACTATGCATTTTTTGTATTTTTGAAAATGGGAATTTGGCAACTTTGATTCGTTTACACATCACTATTTTTTACCTATTACCGGTTTTTACACGGTTCATGTATTGAATTTAGTTCTGTTTTCTAGTGGAAGATAGGGGTTCAGATAAAAATAGTGCATGTGCATGTCTTTACTGTCAACTGGTTCCAAGTTTCTTGCTTTACTTTTGACATTTTCGTTGTTTCCCATTTAAAGAGCAAAAACTGGAATCCAACAAAGTTTAAGCGTGTAAAAGCAGCATAGCATAGAAAAACCAAAAGAGAATTAATCAGAATTGCTTTGAAGTACTTGAATCATGTAAATCGGGAGTAATTAAATTAGAAAAAACTAGTTTGAATACTACGGTGTTAGTGATTCTGCGTCGATGGAAGAAACTATTGATATAAGCCAGGGTTAGTCAAATTTTGAAAATTCTTGTATTTCCTTTTAATACTTTGAATGTAGAAGCTGGGGTACGGTTCGGCTTTTTATACAATGATTTGGGTTCATGTAGCACACGCTTGAAATATGGACTTTTCGTAAATTTTGGAGTGAGCTCTATACAAAAATACTGTGGCGTAGCCAAGTTGAGCAGATGAAAGTTTTTTGTAATACATACAGTTTTCTTTACAATTACAAGCGATTTGTTCTTCTACGATTGGGAATTTTAGGTTTTATTTTGTCGGTTTAAAATATTTTAAAAATCGAAGAGAAAGGACAAAGTTACTGAAAATCGCTATATAACAATTAACTAATTCTTCAGGAAGTAAACAAAACTAAAAAGTTTATATAAATAGCTTCGTCAATGCATTTAAAAATTATCCGATAACTTCGATAGTATCGATAGTTTAAATGCAAACTATCGAAAACATCGAATGGGATACCTATCGATAGTTTTACAGATCCAATTCTGAGTAATTTCGTATGTATATGTCTATGTATATCTATCTCGATTCCTTTAGCTTGGTATAAACAACCGTTATGCGAACATAGTTATAATATCCTTGTGCACAAGTGCGCTCGGGTATAAAAAAGTTGTGTGTAGTATTTCGTACCTAGAGCAAGTTCAATTACAAATAATATGAACTAATTCGAAAGCATCACTTTTTCCGATTGACGTGAAATACGCCATTCGTAAATTAAATTTAGTTGTCATGCGAATTACAAGCTAATCAGTAACTTCACTCAAAATAAAGTCTAGTAAAAAACTAAAGAAAGAAGAATAAAAAACGAAAAGAATTAATATAAACAAAGTACCGATATATGAACTATGCCTAATGCTGGCAAAAATATTTATTAGTATAAGTACAAAAAACTTTAGTCTCACATTTTTTTTAGATCAATCACAGTGCAATACAGGTTTAGGGGAAAATATTTTACAAGCTACTGGCCATTTTGAGAACTTTATATCCTACTTAAATCAATTAAAGAGCAGTTCCTGCCATACTTTATAAATAAATATGTGTTATATATTTTCTTAGGCAAATACTCGCAATAGTTTATAGTTATAAAAAGGGGAAATCCACTTACTCTGCATTTGTTTCCGGTGTAGGTAGATCTCCAATAGTAGTTAAAGTAAGAGTCGACCAATAAAGGCTTCCAAGGTACTTTCTCGTCAGGGTAGCATAGTCTCCTGGCCTATAAGGATATACCCAGTCACCCTGTATTTAAAAGAAAAACTCTTAATTGCAGAAACTTTGTGCATTAAATTGCTTAATCAACCTGAAATCCTTCAGCTTCCGACAAAAGATAGTAAAAACAGCCGAACCAGTGCGCCAATATCAAAAGAATGTGAATTAAGTTTATCACTCGCCACAAGTTTGGCCAAACAGTTCTACTTTCAACGATATAGTAAAATTTGATACATCGATATACCTGCTTAAATATAAAATATAATAATTTGTACCTTGAAATATAAAAAAATTTACCTTGAAAAATCTTGAGAAGCGCAAGAGGGGGTGTGACCCGATTTTCAGTTGTATTAAGTCCAAAGGAATCAATGAGATAATATCGAAGAAAAAATCTTTAGAATGGATATAATGCATTGCCAGTTTTTTATCATCATAAACCATCAATCCTTGCTCGAGATACCCCGTACGCAGCTGGACAACGATATCGAATATGAAGACGACATCCGTGAGCGTATCGCAAATAAACCAAAATATAGGAACAGCTTGCTGAAAATGGAATTAAAATGTGGTTTATTATATTGTAATAAATAAATCGTCATTTTTGCTTAATTATTTACTAAATTGAAATTTAGTTAAAGATTAAATAATGGGTACAAAATAATACTAATGCGAAATTTAATGAATAGAGGATATAACCTCGAATTTTGTTTATGTTTCTTAAAACAACGGGTTTCGAGATATAGGCATAAAACTCCTATTTTGGGTCCTTTCGGAGATATCGCCAGAAATCTTGACTTTACGTTTATTACATGCGGCAACTGTATTAGTAATTTTGTATCTACAGGCGTTTAAAATTAAGAAGAGTGGCATTTTTTTAGGGTTCTAATAGAGGAAATTTCCTCCCCCAAAGGTTTCCTAATAAGTAAAACATATAGAACCATTTCTTTCCACCGAATATTTGAATGTTATCTTTTCATCGCCTGTAATGTAGTGCGATCTTAGAGTTCGTGTTTTCCATTGTTTTTCATTTCTTAAGCTTAGTATACAGCTGTTAACCCTTTCGGTACATCTTTTTAGATTCGGGCTTTAAAAATCCAATTTTTTTATTAAATGATCCTTAATACATAATACAATAACATTCAATTAAATTTTTTTCCAAAATGCGATTCTAAAGTGTTTTTTGGAATGATGCCTTATGGCATCATTTGTACTAACTGGTGTAAAAAAAATGCAAAGATTTTTTAATATGCTATTTTATTTTATTCAACTCAAACTAAATAACACCACAAAAATAAAATTTAATAAAATAAGTTGGAACATGCATAGATTTAATAATTCATTTAAAAAAATTTACCAGTTGCAATTTCCCAGTACAAATATATCGTTATTTGCTGGTGCGGATTTCAGCTCCTTCAAATATTATTGATGCCATATGGCATCATACACATTAAAAATATACCACGCGTTTATTAGCACTTTTTAAATTAAATTACAAGTTCTAGCAATATTTGACACTATTTTGGAGACTATAGCATATTTATTTGTTTTTAATTTATTGGGTTATTTGGTAAAATATAGTATTTTAATGTAGACCTTTCTAAGCAGAAGGAAATCGATATTTTAGTAAAGTATTAAAATATAGTTTATAAAACTTCCCATTACAGCGTTGCATATAAAAATATAATTTCAGATAAACTCGATTAAATCTGTGAGTATTCAAATACGCATGACGCCATATGGCATCATTATAGCGAAGGGGTTGAGAAAAATCCGGAGATATTTTTTTCATTATCTCCATGAACGATTACAGTTTCCCCGATCGCAACGAGCACTCCAAATTATCTATGTATATTAAATACAATTGTCTCATATCAGAGAATAAACAGTATACAGAAGACGCATGTCGACTATCGAAGCAATTTGAATTTATAGCACGAGCGGTTAGGCAAGTAAGGGTATCACAAGCGGTGCTGCCTCTGTTAATTTAGCAGTATTTTCACTCGGCTGACGCTGTTAATTCCATCGTCGCTATTACGACAAGATGTTAACTAACTTCGTTTTCCATCACGATAAGCGTTGCCGTTTTGATAAAATTTTATCATTTTTGATACTTTTTGAAGTGAAATTTCTTAGGCGGCCGTTCCGCGAAAATGGAAAATGAAATTTTTAAAACTGAAAATGTTACATGAGTAAGAAGGAAGATATAGTACAGAGAAGGGAAAAAAAAGAAAGTGGCGTATGACCAGTGTGACCACTTTGTGGGTAATTCCTCAAAACGTGACGAATTGCGGGTGCGCTTGAGTATTTTTTGAGGATTTTTATTTTGAGGAATTTTCTTTCGATATATTTGCAGACAACAAATGCAACCATGTTTTATACAACAGAGTTGTTAAATCTCTCTGTAAATTTTTGAACAAAAAGCTTTCCGAAGTTTTATAAATAGCGAAATACACCACACAAGCGGCTTCTCAAACATTCTTCAAACCGACTTTTCCCATTTCGCCATACACCATGCAAACATGACTCGTACAAGCAAAGAATTTTAATTTTCTTGCGGATCACAATGTAAAAGAATTTAGTTTTCTTCTAGTTTTCTCTCTTGCGTCCCCATTCGGTGAAAATTCCGTTGCGAATGAGGCGCTTTTACATTCACAACCTAAGCGGTTTGATCAAACGTCAACATAGCGGCCAGAAAATCAAAAAGTTTAACTTTTGTTCACATTTCCCGCAAACGGCTTGTCAAACCCCCACCCCCATACAAAACATTAATATGTAGCTTTAAGCAAAGGGATATTTCGCTTGGTTTGTCAAGCGGCTTGGGTGGTGTTTTTCGCTCTTAAGCACATCTGCATTTGCTGCTAAATATTCAAAATATTCAAAAGTTTCTCAATTAAAAAAAAAAATTATATCTGCATTACTAATATAGCCCTTTTCTAATGCTTCAGTAGAACGTATTTTTAGTAGTTTAGAAATGTGTAGGACAACTTGAGGACCA